AGGTAAGCCTCTCTCCTCATTATTTTCATTTTAAATTATAATTATTTTATTTTTCCCCGTACGGCTACCACATTCCCCCCTTTTTGCGAGCGAATGTTCCACAGCAGCATCGCAAACTCAGGATGTCAGATCCTTATTTTAAAGCAAGAAAAGAACAACAACAATTTTAACATAATCAAACAAAATCATTTATCACAATTATTGAAGAATGTCCCATACACGTTGGCACTTCCACAGTGCTCCTCAATCTTCTGTCTGATTTATTTGACCAGCTTCCAGGTATGTGGTCAAAACCAGAGCCGTAGTCCTCTTTCTGGGTCTCATGGCGCTGTTGGTTTGACGGTATGAAGTCTCAGGGGATCTTTTTGCTCAGGAGTCGCAGTCCACTCAGGTGGTGCCTTTTTTATTCTGGTGTAATGGATCCAGGCTTTGATTCCTTCCACTTTGACAGCTGTGGGAGTTGAAAGCAAGACAGTAAAAGGCCCTTTCCATTTTGGTCTTAAAGGTTCTATTCTCCAGTCCTTAATCAGCACTGAATCCCCTGGGCGGAAAGAGTGTAAAGGAGTAGCTGGCCAAGGTGGTCTTAGTTCTTCAGTGTATTGTTGAAGTTGGGCTATGGCCAGCCCTAATGCTTGAACATCCCTTTTTAATGCTTGTTGTCCCAACTGATTGATATCTCCTTGAAGATGCCTCAATCCAAGGGGAGGTCTTCCATACATAAGTTCAAAAGGGGACAGGCCCAAAAACTTAGTAGGAGTACACCTAATATGTAGCAAGGCCATAGGCAGTAACCTAGTCCATGGCAAGTGAGTCTCTTGGCACATTTTTGATAATTTTCCTTTTAAAATTTGATTCATCCTTTCTACTTTTCCTGAGCTCTGAGGTCGATATGCACAATGTAACTTCCATTTTGTTCCCAATAGTCGGACCAAGGACTGTAAGACTTCTGATACAAAAGCAGGACCATTATCTGAACAAATGTGCAAAGGAATCCCATATCTTGGGATAATGTCTCTAAGAAGTGCCTTTGACACTTCAGCTGCCTTTTCAGTTCTAGTTGGATATGCTTCAGGCCATCCAGAATGAGTACATACAAACACAAGCAAATACTTATGAGGCCCACATTTTGGCATTTCAGTGAAATCTACTACTAAAGATTCAAAAGGTGTATTTCCTTGATATTGAACCCCTGGAGGTGGCATTGGTCCTGTTCTGGGGTTATTTTTAGCACAAATATGACATCTGGCTGAGGCTATTCCTGTTAGGGCAGTGAGTCCATTTATGTAAAGTTGTCATCCCAGTAGTGAGGCCAAAGCTGTTTTTCCCATATGGGTTTCTTGGTGTGCCTCCTTAATCATTTCCCAAGCTATCTGTCTGGGTACAAACAGCCTCTGGTCAGGCAACACCAACCATCCATCTTTCCTTACAGCTTTCTCACGCTGGGCCTATTGTTCTTCTTCTGGAGTATATAGCAAGTCATCTTTCCTTAACCAGTCTCTTACCTGCAAAGGGGCCATGACCGGCTCTTGTCCTCGTCCCTTTCGGGCCGCGGCCTTTGCGGTAGTGTCAGCATACCAGTTTCCAAAGGTCACAGGATCCTCGCCATATTGATGTCCTTTACAATGCATCACTGCTACTTTAGCAGGAATCCAGACAGCATCTAGCAATCTCAGAATGGTCTCACTATGTCGTATTTCTTTCCCAGCAGAATTTAACAGTCCCTTTTCTTTATATAAAGCTCCATGTGCATGCAGAGTAGTAAATGCATATTTTGAATCTGTATAAATGTTGACTGTTTTTCCTTCTGACAATTCAAGAGCTCTAATTAGGGCTATCAGTTCTGCCTTTTGAGCTGATGTGTTTAGAGGAAGTGGTTCTGCCTCCCATACAGTGGTTGCAGTTACTACAGCATATCCAGCATACCTTTGTCCATTTTCAACAAAACTGCTTCCATCTGTAAAAAGAGTGGCATCCGCCTTAGGCCAAGGTTGATCTTTTAGGTCAGGCCTACTGGAATATATCTCATCCATAGTTTCCAAACAATTATGTTGAAGCAATTCTCCTTCAATAGGCAGGAGTGAAGCAGGATTTAATGTACTGCAAACCTGTAACTTGATTCGAGGGTTTTCACATAATAAGGTTTGATATTTTAACATACGGCTATTTGTGAACCAATGATGTCCTCTATATTCCATAATAGCCGTTACTGAGTGAGGAACCTTAACTACTAATTCTTGTCCTAAAGTCAACTTATCAGCTTCTTGAGTCAACAAGGCTGTAGCAGCTACAGCACGTAGACAAGATGGCCAACCTTTTGCCACACTGTCAATTTGTTTAGACAAGTAGGCCACTGGTCTTGGCCAGGTTCCTAGTAGCTGGGTAAGCACCCCCACTGCTATTCCATCTCGTTCACCTACGTAAAGGGTAAATGGCTTCTCTAAATCTGGCAGGCCCAATGCAGGTGCTTGCACCAAAGCTTGTTTCAACTGGGCAAATGCTTGGGCACATTCGGGGGTCCAATTAAATGGTTCCTTTTCACCCCCCTTTGTAACTTCATAAAGAGGTCTTGCCATGATAGCAAAGTTCGGTATCCAAATTCTGCAAAACCCCGCACTCCCCAAGAACTCTCGCACTTGACGCTTACTGGTGGGGGTGGGGATGGCACAAACTGCTTGTTTTCTTTCAATTTCCAATTGTCTCTTTCCTTGTGACACACGAAAACCCAAATACTTGACATCAGTTTTACACAGCTGGGCCTTCTTTTTAGAAACCTTATATCCCTTTTCATAAAGTAGATGCAATAGTTCCTTAGTCGCCCTGTAACACTCTTCTTGCGACGTGGCCGCCAAAAGAAGATCATCCACATATTGTAAAAGCACCCTATTTTTAGGGTCAGATGGGAACCCTTGTAAATCCTGAGCCAATGCAGTTCCAAATATAGTCGGGCTGTTCTTAAACCCTTGAGGCAAACGGGTCCAAGTATACTGGACTTTAGCTCCGGTTGTAGGGTTTTCCCATTGAAATGCAAAAATGGGCTGACTATTGATCTCAAGGCGTATACAAAAAAATGCATCTTTCAAATCCAGGACTGTAAAATGGGTAGCAGCTGCTGGTATTAAACTTAAAAGTACATATGGATTGGGCACTACAGGATGTATGGTTTCTGTAACTTGATTTATAGCTCTTAAATCTTGCACCGGACGAAAGTCTTGTGTTCCTGGCTTTTGTAATGGTAAAAGAGGGGTGTTCCAAGGAGACCTACATTCTCTTAGGATCCCATATTCAAGTAACTTATTCAGATGCACATTGATCCCTTCTACAGCTTTTCGAGGTATTGGATATTGTCGAATAGCCACAGGTCCCATCCCTGGTTTTACTTCTATCTGTACAGGTGGAACACACCGGGCCAGACCAGGTGGATTGTCTTCTGCCCATACACCTGGAACTCCATATTTCTTCCATTCCTCAGTACTTTCCTGACAAACAGTAAATATTCTCCATTCCTCTGACATAGGACAAATCAAAGTATAGAGTCCCTTTCTAACAGTCATTTCCATTTCTCCATTTTCTTCAAATGCTAATATTGCTCTCATTTTGCAAAGCAAATCTCTTCCCAATAGGGAGATTGGGCATTCAGGTATATATAAGAATTCATGCATCACTTGATGGGTTGCTAAATCACATTTTCTGCTTTGTAACATAGGATAACTTTGTCTTTGACCGGTGGCTCCAACCACATTAAGTTCTAGTCCATTTTCAGGGGCCACTGGCTTTGTTACCACAGAGTGGTCAGCTCCCGTATCTACTAGAAAAGTCATTTCCTGGCCCTCAATATTCATTTTGACCAGTGGCTCCCCCGGGCCTAGGCATAAGGGGGCCGGTCTGTCCTATTCCGTCCAGTCCTCTCCCAATCCAACCATTCCAACAAATTCTTCTCTTTTTTCTCCATATCTAGCCCCAGGAACCGGGTTAACATATCCCCCTTGGTGGCCTCCTCCCCGGCCTCTTCCTCTCCAATATCCTCTCTGGGATGGCATTCCCCTTTGTATTCCTACCGTTCCTCGAGCAGATGGGCACTCATTCTTCCAATGACCTTCTTGACGACAAACGGCACACTGGCGTCTTCCCAGGGGCATCCCTCGTCCTCCTCTTCTTTCCTTCTGCCACATTCCTCTTTTCCTTCTGTTTTCACTTTCACATTCTTTCAATTTATCTCTTTCATCTAAAATGTTCAAAAAAATCTTATGATCTTCCTCTCTTATTTTCTTTCTTTCTCTTTTTTCTGCTTCGTCCCTATGGATGAATACTTTGGTAGCTATTTCAATTAACTGGGACAGATTCATCCCTGCAAACCCATCTTGCTTCTGCAATTTTCTACGAATGTCTGGGGCAGATTGAGTAACAAATGAAGTGTTTAATAATGCAGATCCATCTTTTGATTCAGGATCATAGGGACTATACTTTCGGTAAGCTTCCAATAATCTCTCTAAATAAGCACCTGGACTTTCATCTTTTCCTTGCATTACTTCCTGTATCTTCTTAAGGTTGATCACCTTTTGGGGTCCCTTCTTCAAAGCTTCCATTAAAAATTCCCTGTATCTGACTATATATTCCATCTCCCGGCTTTTATTAGGATCCCAGTTTGGATTTGTCAAAGGAAATGCCCCTGCAGCCCATTCAGTGGGATTATAACTTGTTTTCTCGGCAGCATATGTCTGTGCTATTTGGGTTCCTTGATTAAGGATTCTTCTTCGCTCTTCAGATGTGAAGAGAGCCTGTAATAGCTGCTGGCAATCTGACCAATCTGGCTGGTGGCTAGCCATTATTGTTTCACACAAATTTATAAGTGGCTGAGGGTTTTCAGTATAAGGAGGATTATTAGACTTCCAATTTAACAGATCTGAAGTGGTAAAAGGCACATGCTGGTAAGTGGTTTTCGGAGACAGGGTTAATTCTCCTTTGTTATCTCTCTCTTGTACATATTGGACCATTGTTCTCAAAGGCAATTGAAAAGTAATCTTTGGGTTGGGATTACTATGGCTTCTAGTTCTTCCAGCTATGGGACTATCTCGCAAAAATTCTTCTGTTATATTCTGAAGCCATCTGCTTGCAGAGGCTAGATCTATTAAAGGTGACTTTTTAGATTCCCCAGGAGAGGTATCAGGAGATGTTGGCGTGGTTAAAGAAGTTGACCTTTCATTGTCAATAGTTTTTAACTGTGGGTACAAAGGAACATAGGGAGGAGGGTTACTCAATTCTTCCTCAGGACAAGGAAAAATTCCAAATCTTTTCTTCTTCTTATCTGCCTGAGGCTTTTTCAAATTAGTTTGGGCTACAAGAACATCACATTCTTTGTTCTGACATTTCTTTAGCCATGCAGGCTGTGTAGTTATAGCATTTTCCCATGCCTCTGCATATGGAAATTGATCCGGATGAACTTCTGCTGTTATTCTCACAATTGTTCTGATATCTTTTAAATCATAACTTCCTTCACCTGGCCACCCTGTATTAAATTGCACCCAGTCTAGTTCACAAAGAGATCTCAATTTCTGGGGGCTATTGCATCCTGGTGTTTGAGTTAACTCCCTAAATTTTGAGAAATTTTCCATCATGCATTCAAGAGGAGTTAAAGACTGTTTACTTGGTACACCACCCATTTTCTATTTTTTTCTTTTTTCTTTAAGACAAAGAAGTAAGCACAGAAAGCATAAAGAATGGAAAAATACAGAAGCAGAGAAGCAACAATACAGTATTTCATAAACCAAAATGCACACACAATCACAAAACAAACTTATGGGATCAACATAACAATTGTTCCAACTTGAACACTTTTTCCCTTTTTTCCCAAAAAGTGCACTTTTCCCAACCTAGGAGTGAGCTCTCTGTGGCGAAAGCAACACTCAGGGGGTTTTTCTTTCTTGAGGTCTGCAGTACCTCCTTTGAAAAAACCTGTTCCCCCAAAAATGTTTCACTTTCCCCCTGAAAGTGTGTTCCTTTAACCTTGTGAGTGCGATTTCTGTGCGAAAACGTCACTCGAGGGGTTTTCACCTGATTTCTGCAGTAATCTTCAGTGAAAAATTCCCCAGGTACTTCCCATGTACCTTAAGGCTAGCCTTTTCCCTTTACCTGTGCCGTGGAATCAATGTACCCCAGTCTCAATGTACCCCAGTCTGAAGGCAGGGAAGGCGAGGATCAGCCGGGTCGTTTCTTTCAATGTGGGTACCCGTATCGCCCCTTCTGATCGTCGTCTTACCTGACCTGCTGAGTGGCGGCAATCAAGCCCTCAAAAGGCTTCGTTTCTGTTCCTTCGCTGTTGACTCAGGTCCCGGACGAGCCCCCATTTGTCGCAGCAGATTCGTCACCCGAGATCAGATGAGTGCAATCAGGAAGGAAGAGAAAGGAGACAGCAACCGATTCCAGGCTCTTTATTCAATCAAGCTTGATTGGGTGTTCAGAATACAATATCTGACACACACTGGAAGGCAGATTTGCTCCAGCATTTATAGCATAATTCTCAGGGTTACACATGCGCATAAGAGTCTTGACATTTTCATAATCTTAATCAACATCAATTTGTCCTCGAGGAATCGCAGCCAAGAACACTTGTTGGCAGAACACTATAATTTCCACTGTTCTCCCTTCCAACAGCTGACTAAGTTCCCAGAGGACTTACATAATCTTTAGAATGAATCATCACTTCATATATTTCTCTTCATACATATGTCTTCATATAGGTATCTTTAATTTATTCAAAGCAAGCATTTTCCTTATTAATTCTTCTTAATTATATTCACAATACATTCACAATATATCCATAATACATCAGGTTTTCCAATTGATCATTATAAAAAGTATATTCAATTTGTCTACTTCAACCAGACAGGAGATGGCGCTCTTAGATCATACTTTCAGGTGTTTGTTCTTTTTAGATCAATAGTTATCAATTTGTTCTTGGCACCACTCTTTGACCTTCCGAATTTAGCTTAGTTCCAGCCTTGGCCTCTTCAAATATTGACATAAGATAGAGCCAGCCTGAAAGGTTTCTGAGTCATCTGTTAACTTTCCCTTCTACCAAAGACTCTACTTTCTACCTCAAGAACGGACAGGTAAGCCTTTCTCCTCATTATTTTCATTTTAAATTATAATTATTTTATTTTTCCCCGTACGGCCACCACACTCTCATTATGTGTCCAAAGTAGTTCATCTTTGCCTCTAATATCCTTCCATCCCATGAGCAGTAGGGCTTTATTTCCTGAAGTATGGAGGTTGGATCTTCTCGTGGTCCAAGGCACTCTCAGAACTTTCCTCCAACACCACAGTTCAAAAGCAGTTATCTTCCTTCACTCAGCCTTCCTTATGGTCCAGCTCTTAATAGGTGACTACGGGGAATACCATTGCTTTAACTATGCGGATCTTCGTTGCCAGTGTGATGTCTCTACTCTTCACTATCTTATCGAGATTGGTCATTGCTCCCCTCCCAAGAAGTAAACGTCTTCTAATTTCCTAGCTTCAGTCTACGTCTGCAGTAATCTTGGCACCGAGAAATACAAACTCTGTCACTGCCTCCACATTTTCTCCCTCTACTTGCCAGTTATCAATCAGTCTGGTTGTCAGAATCTTGATTTTTTAATGTTTAGCTGCAACCCAGCTTTTTCTTTCACCTTGATTAAAAGTTTCCTCAGCTCCTCCTCGCTTTTGGCCATCAAAGTGGTATCATCTGCATATCTAAGGTTGTTAATGTTTCTTCTAGCAATTTTAACCCCAGCCTTGCATTCGTCAAGCCGCACACATTGCATGATGTGTTCCACATACAACTTGAACTGGCATATGCCACTGAATTCAGCCCTGTCTGATGAGGTCATTAATCTGGTCTTTTTGAGCTGGCAACCTAAGTGGAATGCCTAAGGATGCTGTTTGGAGATATGAGGGTAGTTAAGGTATTACTATTTGGAATCTAAGAGGTACTTAACATGTAGAATGGGGGAAGAAGATATTTAGTTACAGAAACAGAGATTCGTTGGACACATTAACCCAATGGTTCCAAAAATAGCAGTTACCTGGGGCACATATACACTGATCGTTGAGGCTGGGTCAGGTTGGATCAGCCACAAAACATACACAGGCTGATCCAGGTTAAACCATGGTAAGCTGCTTAATGTAGATGTAGACCAGTTAAAAAATAACTCAGGGAAAAGCCCAAATCTTATACCGGGGTCATTTTGGATGCCAGATCCAGCCCACATGATTGAGTAGTATAGAACTGCCCCTAGAATTCTTTTAATTCCAAAGTTTTCTTGTCTATGATGAGTCACTAAGTATTGAGTTGAGCAATAAGCTGAAAGGTCATGGAATTGTGTGTAGAAATTTTAAACACAATAATCTAATGACATTATTATTATTATTATTATTTAAATAAAGTTTTATTATTATTCTTTTTATCTAATTTTCGTTTGCTAAGTCACAATTCGTATTTGTATGTTGGGTTGTATAAATTTTGTTAGCATGGATGTATTGTTGCTGTATTTGGGCATTGAATGTTTGCCTTTTATGTTTGGAATCTGCCCTGAGTCCCTTTGGGGAGATAGAGCGAAATATAAATAAAGTTATTATTATTGTTATTGTTGTATTGTCGAAGGCTTTCATGGCTGGAATCACTCAGTTCTTGTGGGTTTTTTCGGGCTATATGGCCATGTTCTAGAGGCATTTCTCCTGACGTTTCGCCTGCATCTATGGCAAGCATCCTCAGAGGTGAGGTCTGCTGGAACTGGGAAAAAAGGGGTTTATATATCTGTGGAATGACCAGGGTGAGACAAAGGGCTTTTGTAAGTTGGGCTAGGTGTGAATCTTTCAACTGACCACCTTGATTAGCATACAATGGGCTGACTGTGCCTGGAGCAAACTCTTCTTGAAAGGTGATTAGATGTCCCTGCCTGTTTTTCTCTCTGCTGTTTTTGCTGTTGCAATTTTAGAATTTTTTAATACTGGTAGCCAGATTTTGTTCATTTCATGGTTTCTTCCTTTCTGTTGAAATTGTCCACATGTTTGTGGATTTCAATGGCTTCTCTGTGTAGTCTGACATGGTGGTTGTGAGAGTGGTCCAGCATTTTTGTGTTCTCAAATAAAATGCTGTGTCCAGGTCCATCCTCACCTCTGAGGATGCTTGCCACCATAGATGCAGGCGAAACGTCAGGAGAAATGCCTCTAGAACATGGCCATATAGCCCGAAAAAACCCACAAGAACTGGTTGTTATTGTTGTTGTTGTTGTTGTTGTTATTGTTGTTGTTATTGTTATTATTATTAGGTACCTCTTGTTGCTGCTTCAAGTTTTGTCTTTTTTCTGATGAGCTCATCCTCATTTTTCAGAAACTTCCAAATGTGTAGGGTTCTTTTAAAATATTCCCTGTATTCACTGATACAATCCGGGCTGTGAGAAGACAAACCATGGAGAATGGGCCTACCAAGAGATAGCCTTAGTGCAGATGAAGAATGTGCCTCATTGTGGATTCAGTTTCACAATCTCATAACAGATAACAGAGAGATATTTTGTTTGCTTGCTTTCTCCCCTTCAATAATACTGGATTTCAAACTATAACATATAATTTCAGGCTTAGTCCAAATGGATTAAATCAACCAACTTAACCAACTGCTTATATGTGCACTGTGATAATTTATTTCTTAAGTAGTCTCCAGTATGTATCCTATGTTCCATAGTACTTGGAAACTTTCAAAGTTGTATATAAGATTTTAAAAACCTCTGTTGAGAAATGTGCTAGGAATTTGGAATAGATACAAGGAAATATTAATATCACAAAGTTCAACACTAACTCCAATAGTAATGGATAGAAAATTCTCCAAAAAATTAAAAAACATATTGGATAAAAAATTAAGAGAGAAGAATATAGATAAAATTAGAGATTGGATAAAAGTAAACATGAGGAAAGAAACTATATTGAGAGAATTAAGAGATATTAAACTCTCATGGTTACATTG